TTTTTTATGTTTTGTCATAAATAATTTTTTCAAATAAGTTGATCACAGAAAAGTAATTGGAAAACAGATTATGCATAGTGATATAAAAATTTTAAATAGCTAATTAAAAAAAACATGCAAAGAAAAGCCACACATATTGATACGTTAATTATAAAAAATTATAAATAATATAATTAAAGTTTAATTTTTCAATACTATTTTAATATAGTTGACTAATTTAAGTAGATCAAGAAAATTAGTTAAATTAGTTTGTTGTAATAAATAGGTACTAGTTTTCCTAAAATATCCTTACTAATCAAATGTGATTTGATGAAATATTTGATATATATGATTACTACAAAGACTACCTTAAAAAAATAGATAAATATAATAGACAAAATATATTGGAATATTATATTTAAAATTAAATTAAAAGTATAAAAAACTTTTATAGTAAAAATCAAAGGTAGTACAAGATATGAGCTTTAAAGTTTAAAAGAAGTATGTGATTGAAATGGTTAGGCTATACAAACACACATTAGTATATATATTTATAGCTCACCTACCCACACAAAAACACGTTTAAATTAATAATATGTTCATCTAACATAATTTAAGTATAAAAATATACCCAAACATATAAGGATAATATTATTATCTGCTGCCCTTAATATAAGACCTAGTTGATTAATTTACAAAGATTAAGAAAGTTAGTTAAGTTAATTGTCGGTCAACCATACGGCGGTAAATTCATCCCCAGGCCTTGTACACACTGCCCGTCACATTATGGGAGCTAGGGATCTTTCAATTGAGAAGATTCATCGACCTGAGACGAAGAGAAAGAAAGGTCTATTTATTTTATCTAGTTATTCAGTTAAACCAATGATTCGTTATTGGAGCAGATAGCAATAACCATTTCATCCGGCATATGTATTTTTTATTTTCCAATGGATTTATATCTTTCATTAATGGAAATTTTTTGTGTAACATGTATCTCCCTCTGTTCCGGTCATGGAATAGATGAAATAAATCAAAAAATGGATTTTTGTTGAAAATGAAATCTTATTGGAACTGTCTAGTTCATCTTTCAGAACCATATCACATCTCGTCATATGTTTTCTCAGGTACAAATTGATAATAACTCCTTAACATATACAATTACTATAGGGATTGCTTGAGGACAAAATAAATAAATATTAAAGATAAAGTGAATTGGTTTATATTTAAAACCAGATTAAAAATTAAATTAAGTCTTATATTAAGTATCAAAAGCAGTACTTTCTTGTATTGGTGTTCATTTTTGTTGTCAATTATCATCTTTCTTTACTGCTTGGCTATTATCTACCATTGGCCATGCTCTGCCACCACAATCTATCATTATCCTTCACTAGTCACTATCCGCTGCTACAAGCCATCATCTTGTTTTGTTGCCACTTGCCACCCTATGCCATGGCGAGGCATTTTAATCTCATTAAAGGTTCATTCAACAATAAAAATAAATTATGTTCTGCCAAATAAATTTAGGTCACAGTCGCTTATATATTTCTTTTTTTTTTTTTGAATTAAAGGAGTTAGACGCTAGCAATATGAGATTACAAAATATTCTTACACCTGTCTTGTAATGACTCTTTTATTTATTCATATAATTTTGCTTTATTATAAAAAAATTTAAACCTACGAACTCTTATTTACAAAAAAATTTACAAAACAAAAGCTAAAGTTGCGAGTTTGACATTGTTTGTTAAAAAGTTACTCCCTCCATCTTATTTTATAAGCAACAACTATTATCTTTTTTTTCTCTAAATATAAATAATATTTGCAAGTTGACTTAAATTTTTGTAGTGAATTTCCTATTTTATCCTTATTAATTACTTATTTTAATAAGTGATTGCACTTGTCGTTAGCGGTTCAAATTAGTTATTAGTATTAACCCTATGTGGTATAGGAGCTAATCCTAGGTCAGTCTCTTCTGGAGTCAAAGTTTGGCTTTAAAACAACTTTTAAGTTGGGTTATGTGATTAAAAAGAAATAAAGAGTAGAAGAGAATATTGATTTTAAATTAAAGTGAACAAGAAAGTAAAGAGAACGTAAAAATAGGAGATAATAAATACGAAAAACTTTACCTATAAGATGAGCTTCCTAAAGATCGATGTATGGCTATCCCGATCTAAAAGTTAATAGGAGTTGATAAAAAGGAGAGTACTAAGTTAAAATATAAACCCTAGGTGAACACATAGGTCATAACTATTTAATTAATATCTATACCTAGAACTAGTATATAAATATCAAGCAAATAATTATTTTCAGAACCACTTAGCATGTGAAATTCAATTCCAATTACAATTTGTTTCTCAAAACAAGAATATTCAAACGATATATTTTTGAAAAGTAAGCTAGCGCTAAATTTAATTCATAACTAATCATACAACCTTAAAAATAACACATTAGAATAACATTAAATAATCATAAGAGGAAAAAAGATTTATAAATAAGGTCACAAATTATAATTGAAAAAAAAATTCACTTTAATAATCAAAAGAACCACATATAAGAGTTTCAAAACCTAAAACTAGGAAATCATAAAAACCTACAGATGAAAGATTAAAAACTCTAATTACAACTCATCCAAGTTAAAGCATGGGACTCAAGCCACAGCATCTCTCCTCAAGAACAAGGAGACTAGTCACTCATGTGACTAGAACACATCATATTGATAAAGAAAGAAAACAAAAATATAAAGATAAAATAGAGAGAATTTGACATCTTAGTGAACGCTTGTGAGAAGTGTAGAGAGTGAGTGAAGAACATGTGTCCTGCTCCTTGCCCTTAAACCTCCATTCATAGCCTTGGCTAACCCTCTCCATACCTCCTTATGGGATAAAGATTCAATCTATCTTCATGATTTTTATTTCATATTGGACTTTTGATCTTTGAATGATTTAGCCTCCTCATACCTTCCTTGATTTTCCCATGACTATCTTCATACAATTCAAATAAATTCTAGGATAATCTATTTAAATATTATATATTTTGAATAAATTATCCTATACAAATAATTTAAGATAATCACCTAGGAAACTAAAATGTTGTCATATATAAAATATGGATGGAGAAAAAAAATGGAGAGAATGGCATGCTCAATAAGGAGGATATGAGAAGATATGATAGTAATGATAGTAATTGAAAAATGTCAAAAGGATTAGATGGAAGAGGATAGGGTTTTTATCTCTTGACTTGACTTGGAAAATAAGTCATCAAATTAATATTTGAATTAAGATAAAAGATGATTTAAGTTGATTTAGATTAAGGTTTAGGATAATGAGAAACTTAGTTAGCACAATGTGAGTGGAAGTAGGAAGGATTTAAGATAATTCAAATAATTAAAAAAGAAGACTTGGGGAGAAAGTAAGAGGATTTAGTAGGAATTTTGACTTATTCAAATATGAATTTGGGATGATAATTAATTTAAAGAAGATATTTTAGGATATTCTCTAATGGATATCTCTAATTAGATATTAACAATTCCTTCTTTACTTTAATTAATTTTACAATCCCAAAATTGCACTTTATTAATGAGGTGGCACTATATTTGACTTGATGAGAAAGAAAACCTTGTGAAATCACCTTCCTATTTTTCATTAGCCACGTTTTTAAACAATAAGGCTATGAAAGAGATGCTATTTGGGCTTAAGTAGAGGTGTTTGGGCCCATTTGAAAGGTATAACTGGTCAGTTAACATATATGGACGTTAACTATGATGTAAGTTGGCTCAAATGCATCCTTAAGGCCTGAAATCTATTGATTCTTGAAAACATCTATGTTTTTTTCAAATCTGTTTGGGCTCTAAAGTCCACCTTCCTTGATTCATTATCAGCTTGTAATAGTGTCTTGGGTCTAATTTAGATTAAAAGCTCCTGATTATCCTGAAACACACAAGAAAGTAGAAATACTTTCGTGTAGATTAGTTTAATTGGAAAAAACATAACAATTAGACCAATTTTAACAATTATTTATATAATTCCTTGTCAGTTCAAATTATTGACACCTATTGCAATAAAACCCTTAAATTATAATAAAATCCCCAAAATATATGTACAAATATATAATAAAATAGGGATACATCGATATTCAATATATTTATCATCTCATTTCCCAAACCATCTTCCCTCCCTTACACATTCTCTCTCTTTTATAATTTTTTTTATAATAATTTTCTTATTCTCTCTCTTATACTCTTTTTCCCATAAATAAGGGCATTTTAGAGAAAGAACTTCTAATTGTTACACATTTATTGTCTTTAACTAATTTTAACTAATATTTTGATCTACGTGATGAGCTCCAATGTTGCTTATAAAAAGAGACAGAGAGAGTATAACTTTATTTTATATTACATTATATTATATTACATGTGATCTTAAATATAAGAGCTAGGTTGTCAATAAAAGTACTTATAATTGTTTATAACTTATTTATCAACTCATTATCGAGTTTTGTGTTGTTTTTTTTTATTATTATCTGCTTTTTCGTTCAGAGGTGATAAACGATGAAACAGAGCCTTTTCTCCCTTTAATTTCTTTGATTTATTTTTGTAATTTTTCTTGGTGAATGATTCATTTCAGTTTCCATCCCCAAAAAAATGGTGCTGAGATAAAACACCAATAGTCTGATTTGGCACCCTTGGGAGCTCTTATATGAAGTGAACGGTCAAGGTTCACCACTTCACCTACTATGGAGGGACCCACAAGGAAGTATCTCAATGGGGCCCGTTCCAGAGAGAATGGTCATATTGCACTCGAAAGGAAAATAGAAAGCCCGTGATCCGTATCCCCCCATTCATCCCTAACTACGTGTCGTTTGCGGTTGAGTCCTCTTAATCAATCTAATCATGCCTGGTGTCGTTTTGAGGCAAAACGCGCCAACGGTTGCGCGTCCCGCATGATAAAACGACGTGGCACTTTCTACGCCTTGGATTCATAACTTTCGTTTCTAAACGAAGCATCTGTTATCTGCGCCAAATCGCCTTACTTTCCAGGACTTCGCCGACCGGCGTCCTGTTTGCGTCTCTGCTTGTCTGGTGACCTTACTCAGGGCTTAGCATCGCTCTTCCACCACTACCAATCTTGCTGAAGGTGCTGCCATGGCCACCACTACGCTTCCATGGCACCCTATTCGCCCAGTAAAGCTTCGTCGGTGCTCGGTGTCGGTTCGGCCCACGGTTTCGGTTCAAGCCTTCCGTCGGAGTGACTTCGATAACTTTGCTCAGCGCATGACTTCTGGTGAGGCATGGAGGGACGCTTGGCGCAGTGCCAATGATGGCTTCGAGCAGCTACTTTTTGAAGCAAAGAAGACTGCTGAGCGGATAGACCGCCGCTACGCGGTGTCGCGGCGGGTAAGTGAAGCTACGAGGTCCGCTGTTGATCGGGCGCGTGAGATTGATCGTGAATTTGAGATTGGAATGCGATGGCGTGCTTTCACCATGGATTTCAGTAGAAACTGGCCGAGGGTGGGTTGCCCTTTTAATTTGCGGGGCGCATATATAATTTTCTTATTGTCTATTTATTCTTTTCAGAATTGTCTTCTATGCTTCTGAAACAACATATGGTTTCAAAAAGCTTTCAAATTAGGAGTTTAGAAGGAAAAATGTGTCGAACTTGTCCAAAATTAAAAAGAAAGGATAATTTGAGTTGTAAATAGTGTACTAACCCTGACGCTGATAGGTTGACACGTAAAATGGATTACTTAAGGTCTTTTTTTTCCCTTTGGTCAAAAGGATTACTTAAGTTGATACTCAACAAATTGGTCTTCTACTAATTTTGGTTATGCTATTTACATTAATCCTCCTATCCACCAATTCAAGTAGAAAATATAGAAGATAATACTGATTGCTAAAAATTCGAAAATCATGCAATTCCTGCCCCACGACCCGCATCTTGCATTAACTCTCACTTTGGTGAGCCACATCTTCACTCATTCTTCTGCATTAAGTCCCACTCTGTCCTTACGTTTCTGCCTTCTAGAGTATGTGGTAATTGGAGTTATCATAATAGATAGATCAAACATATTCAAGATTGCGAATTTAACTTTATTTTGAGGTAATATAACATTTTTCACTTGATTTTGGATCCTCAAACTAAGATGACTGACCATAAGTGTAGCATAAGTCATAAATAATCTCTTTATTAGAATATTTACAGGTGATTATGTCAATATGTCCTAAAAGGATGCTGTAGAAAATACTTTCATATCTAATTATTGCCTTCTTGTTGGAGAAAATGGCCGCTATGACCACCAAAAGCATTGTTGTCATCTAGCACTTCCATATTTTTAATTCATCCCGGTCCCGCACTTTCATCTCTGCCATTACCTATGGCTTAAAGATGGTATTGGAGAAAGTGTAATTGGGTTGATCAAACTGTTTTCTTTGTTTCTTTTCTGGGTTAGGGGACATTGAGATTGATGAATTTTTGCCGTCTTAAGAAATTTTTCTGTCTTTCGATGGTTTTTACTGTCTGAACAATTATGGTTTTGTTTGGTTATGTTTGCAGTACAGGACGCAGCTCAACAACTTTCTGGATAGTCCAATTGGAAGGAGCTCTGCAGTAAGTATGCTTTATATTATTATTCAATCATTATTTTGTGACTCTTGTCATATTATTTGTGCTTCTTTGTCATAACTCCAGCATTGCTTGTTATAAAGTGTAGTCTTGTGTTCATGGGTTTTCTTAGTGTGCTCCTTTATTGTAGTAGTCTTAATCATTTCAAAATATTCCATCTTTATCTTCTAGTTACATGTTTTATAATTATGGTTGTTAGCTAGGTTAGTCGTAATGTGCTTCTGCTGTCATCATTGAAATGACATATGTTTTTCATAATCTCATTGTTGAGAGCAAAAAACTAGTCTTATTATGGTGCTAGCAGTTTATTGCGTAAAAGTAAGTGAAAAATATGCATGGCACACCTTCCTTTGCAATATTTTTAGCTCTAGGTTCCTTGTTTCAGCATCTTAAAGCATAGGGAAGGTTATATAATATTTCATTCTGTTTAGGGCTAGCTCTTTTGTTGGTTTGGATGTTTCTTTTAGGTAGAATAATGGGATTTGCTTTAGCATCAGAAAATGTATTTCTTGTGGGAAAAAAATGGTTGTTGTATTTGCCATTGTTTGTACCAGAAGACAAGTTTTAGCTTTTCTCTTCAGATCTGGCGCAATCAGATCTGTAGCTTTTCTTTCCAAATCCTGTATCCGTCATCTCTCCAGATCTGTCACTATCTTGTGTTCATGTTCTGTCATTCTTTCTTCGTTGATTAGCTGCAATTACAATGCCTATTTTACTTAAATAGTTCAATATCAAGTTCCTTTAAGTTTTCCAGAATCCAGATCTAGGCCTCTATTGCTCTTCTAGCTGTTGGGTATCAATGTCCTTTATTTGTCACTTTTTTTTTTTCTTCTTCTGTTTTTTGCATTGGTTTTTGGAAGCAATTCTCTCATTCTTCTACTATGTATATTCAGTCGTCCTCGTTTAAAGGCAATATTCTGATCAATGAAATACTCAGATAGGTTATATGCCTGGTACAAATAGCTCACGAAAGAAAATGATAGGTTATGTTCCGTATGTTTCCCACAGATGGTATCATGTAACACAATCAGAGCTAGGAAAAATCATTCAAACACAAATATGATGGCTTTTCCTATTAGCACTCTTGTACCCATTTGTTTGCTCCTTAAACATCTGTAAAGTGCCCCATAACATTCCTACCAAAACTTGCCATCAAATATGCCAGAACTTGGGGGGAAAGTTGGGGAGAAAATTATAGATAGAAGTTTGGCATCTCAATCCCTCCCTCTGGTTTGGAGTGGTGCCCTATATTATCATATACGCTGTAAGTGGAGGAAGTTCAGGGTACCAAACCTCTGCTTGGGCTGCTGGTCAAGATAGTGTCTGTTTTTCTGATCAATTTCTAGCTCTTAACTGTTCTAGGCCCAAGATTGTTGTAAAGGGTTCCCAATTTCAGAAAATTGGAGATGGAGCCCTCCACATAACTTGCCAGAAAAAGCTTGGATTAAAATGAGTTTGTTTGACGGTTCAACTATTCAGTCAAGCTGCCCAAAATTTACTTGAGAAGAAAACAAATATCTTATAAGTGCTGGGTGACCAAACCTGCCCAGAATTTCACAAAATCTGGCATGCTAAATTAGGCTTCAAGGACCTTTGGTGTTATATGGGATGGGGTCTTTCTGGTAGCTGCCATTTAGCACGGTTTCTCCTTGATATACGTAGGGATCAAGCAAACTTGTTACATATTTAATTCCTTTTGCTTTCATTTTCTCTTTGTTTTTGTGGGAATATGTTTGTTTTATCGTAATTGTTCTCTAAGATTGGGTAACATTTATTGGCTTTCATTCTCTTGTCTTTGCCCCCAGTATATATATTTGGGTGTATCTCACTATTCTAATATAAGAAATACATTTTCTCCCAAAATTTCCACAGCTCTGGACATTTTTAAATTTTTCTTGGGGGGTTCTCCTCTGATTTATGGCACTTTTCTGCCTTAGATTCTTTTACTGGGAAGGAAATATATAACTGTTGATCCATTTCCCCAATAGAAGAATTACTTGAATGTGATATCTTGTTGTGTGAACGGAAATAAACTTCATATAATTTTTCAATTCTGATAACACAGCCTTATTCTATTGTTTATGTGCCAATTGTTTCTTTCAGACAGTTTTCTTCATCTGGTTTGCATTATCTGGCTGGCTTTTCCGGTTCTTGGTGATTGCGACTTGGGTTCTTCCATTTGCTGGACCGCTTCTCATTGGTACACTGGCTAACAACCTAACTATCAAGGTATTTGAGATAGTTGATTGGGTCCCCAATGTACCTTGCACTCAAAAGCATTCTGAATATTTTTGCTTAGCATTAGTCGTTGACAGAAGTTGATTTGAATTTCATTTTTTTCTTCTTTTTTTGCCAAAACTTTTATTTCTCTCTTCTGATGTGTATGGAAATTTGCTTATAAGAGATGAAAGGAAAGGCATCTAAGAAACGAGGATGAACATAAAGTCTTCTTAAAACAAGCACAACATCTAAGAGAACAGTAACAAAGTAGCTCGTTTGACCCAATAGAGTACTTAAACTATTCAGTTTCTGTAACAAGGGAAAGCCTAAACAGTTATGCACTTCCACGGTATTTCTTCTGAAGTAAAAGTATTTCGCTCCAAACAATTACAGCTAACGATTATTTGTTTTATTCTATAATCCACTCTCAAGTCTTCTTGAAAACTTGCCTCAAGCGGTTGCTAAATCTTCAATTGTGCAGGGCACTTGTCCAGCTTGCAAAATGCAATTTGCCGGCTACAAGAACCAAGTAATTCGATGTTCTAGCTGTGGCAACATTGTGTGGCAACCCAAAGGGGATTTCTTTTCAAAGGATGGAAGAAGAAACTCCTCTTCTAAATCAGAACCGGATATTATTGACGTTGACTTTGAGGAGAAATGAAGGAAGGGATGCTTAAATCCGCATTTATGATTCTGGCTTTATAGTGGAAACATACAACAAGTAGAATACAATGCCTCTTTGTTTGTTTGTTTGTAGTATTATTCAGTTATGCTAGAGTGAGTTTTGTTCTTTACACAATGCTTCGAGTACTTAGAGGTTTTGTTCAGCCGTATGGACTTGTAAATCCTTTCTTATTACTATGAATAGATGAAGAGAGGAAGAGGGAGAACAGGAAAAAAAGACGAAGAAAAAAATGCAAGTTATATGCCGTTGCGTTGGTGCAACCTTGTTTGTACAGAGAACAGATCTGGGAAGAATAATGTATCGCCCCTCAAATGTTTTGTCATTTTCATTCTAATTAATTTCAACACAACAGGAATGGTGTGGCTAGTATCATCCGGCCTGACATATTTCTGATTTGTATGCATTAAGATGAACATTAACATACTTAAAAAACACGAAAACAGGAAAAAAGACGAAGAAAAAAATGCAAGTTATATGCCGTTGCGTTGGTGCAACCTTGTTTGTACAGAGAACAGATCTGGGAAGAATAATGTATCGCCCCTCAAATGTTTTGTCATTTTCATTCTAATTAATTTCAACACAACAGGAATGGTGTGGCTAGTATCATCCGGCCCGACATATTTCTGATTTGTATGCATTAAGATGAACATTAACATACTTAAAAAACACGAAAATCTTTGATGTCTCAATCATTGTGTTTGCTTGTATTGATGTTGGGTATAAGGGTGACATGGCAATGTAGTGATGTGGCATTTCAGTCCCAGCTGGCACTGACGTGGCTCTAAGCCAAGTTTGAGTTAAGGATTGGGTCTGATATTCTAATTCTAAGAAATGATTTGACGGTGTAGTGGAAGTAGAAGGGTCATATCTTTTTTTTTTTTTTGGGGTATTATTAACTGAATCCATCTGGGGAAAAACCAGCAACACATTTAAATGGAATATAGAGGTATGAAGTCTTCAAAATTTTAAGGTTAATTAGTTTTAATATAATGACTATTTTAACCAACACAAGTACTTTTCATATGATTCAAGTGGAATTATAAACATGGAATAGTAACTTCTTTTTCTTGTTTTAGCAAAAGAAGTAATCAAACTCTGAAGGGGTTGAATGCCTTTAAGTCCATTCAGTATAAAAGAAATTTCACACAAAAAAATAGGCAGAAGAAAAAAAGGAGGAATCGTTGTAGCTTATTTGGGAAGAAATTCCTCAGATTACAGGCGCATTTGATAGTTGATAATAGTTCTTTCACTGGAATTCCCAAGTGTCAATTTAATAGAAGTTGTTTTAAAAATTTTCTGTAGTGAAAAAAGAGGATACGGTTGAAAATGGGTTAATGCCAAACATAAATCGAAGACAAAAATCTAATGAACCCATATGCGCCTTTGGGCTGAGCGAGAAAATGTTACTCTGTAAATCACTTGGAGTTGTAGAGAAAGGTTTGATGTTAAATATAAGTTACATACAGTATATTTAATATTATCTCTCATCTTAATTATAAGGCCTTGTTAAAAATAATTAAAAGTAGATGTAGTACTTATTTCTAATTCTATCCTTATTTAATTCTTGTTAGAAATAGAAAAAGAGAGGAGAAATGTGAGAATTATTTGTAAATTTAAAAGAAGATAAAGCTTTTAATAAAAGTAAAATACAAATTTTTTAATCAATTTAATATATTTTTAATATTTGAAAATGAGTTGCGAGTGATGCGTGCTGCTGGAATCCCACACCGACTATTAAACAACCGAAACAAGAGCATATAATAAGCATAGCAGAGACAGTCGGTCACGACCTTACTTGAACAGGATCTGTTCTATAGGCTCGTACCTCTGTGTCCTTGAGTATCAAGGAGACAAGATCCGCAGCTTGGTTGATGAATCATGACCAGGTGATCAGAGCGTGATTATTATCTGGGCCGTCCATCTTCATGGCTCGACTTGGCCGCAGAGGATCGTTCCCGGGCAGTTCTACTGTGTGGGATGGTCACTTGGTTGTCTGACAAGCTCCCAAATTTTTGTTTTTCTGGAAGTAGCAGCAAACGCAATTCTGGCGTAATTATATTCATGAAATCGCACAAACCAATTGCAACACTTCATCCGTGGAGTTCTACTTATTGTGCATTTGGGGAATAAAATAAAGACAGAGAGTCAGAAAAATGGGGCAACGCCAAAAGATTAATCACTTGAAGGCCGAATCATCCTGGCAAAGTCAGTTCTAGCAGCTATCCCCGCTAATGTTATATGCTATGTAGACTTGTTAGCTATCAGTGAACGAGATGCCTTAATTATATGTTGATGAAGTTAAATGGAAGTGGCGTCAAATCACTATTAGAAGATAGTGGCAAAGCACAATATGAGTACAGTTGGAATTTGTGCTCTGATGGGGTATTCACTGTAAAATCATCCTCTGAAATGAAATGCCAAAGCGTGAAGATTGGGGGGATGAAGAAGAAATGTGGCAGCTAAGTGGCCAGGAGGTCAAAGTATTGGAGTTTTTCTTTGGCTAGATGGCTAGTAGTTAGAGAGAAACTTCTAACAGTGCGTGTATCTCAACTTAAAGTGCGCTGCACTAGTTTGTTAGTGATTACTAACCAGTGGTGAATATGTAGTTATGGGAATGAAGATATATAGAATATTGTATCAAGAGGATGCCTATGTACAAAGGGATCTGGGGGTAGAATAGAAAAATTTCTTTCGAACCATGGGATTAATGGTTTATTAGTAATTTAAAGACAAAGCATGCTGATAGAAATGAGGATGAAGAAGAAATGTGGCAGCCAAGTGGCCAGGAGGTCAAAGTATTGGAGTTTTTCTTTGGCTAGATGGCTAGTAGTTAGAGAGAAACTTCTAACAGTGCGTGTATCTCAACTTAAAGTGCGCTGCACTAGTTTGTTAGTGATTACTAACCAGTGGTGAATATGTAGTTATGGGAATGAAGATATATAGAATATTGTATCAAGAGGATGCCTATGTACAAAAGGGATCTGGGGGTAGAATAGAAAAATTTCTTTCGAACCATGGGATTAATGGTTTATTAGTAATTTAAAGACAAAGCATGCTGATAGAAATGAGGGTGAAGCTTGCAAAGTCTGAAACGGCATATGGTGAATTCTGCAACAGAAGCATCTTTGGAAGCAATAAACAGTGTTTTGAAGGCCACTACTTTGAGATTTTGAGTGCTCTGGCTATATTGGACGGTTGTATTTTTCAGATAAACAAATGGAAAGCTTTCTTTTTATTGTAATCATTTTGTTAGAGGATTAGCATTGTTTCATATTGCTGTACAATGGGCTGATATGGTACAAAATGACAACTGCAAGATGACTGAGAATGGCAGTGAGAAAAAACTTTTTCATAAATATATGAGAAGCTCTCTTTTTAATAAAACCATTTTCCCATGAACCAAATATACATATTACCTTCTCTGCAAACTAGTTCTTATATTTAGGATCAGAAGTAGTATTAATTTTCATGAAATACTTATTATGTCTGAAAACAACCGTTGGTTGCAACCATTATTTTGTGCAATCAATGAAGGAAGTTTATGGAAAAAAAATATCAAATTTGATAAATAAAGTTAATTAAGACTTCACATTTTAGTATTAAAACTTACCTCTCAACTAATTTCTATATTTAGTTGGCATAAAAAAACGAACTTGTACATTTAGGATGTACTTATATCCTCATTCTTCTTATTGGCATATTGTAAAATTATTGTTGTTAACACTAAAATTGGAATATGCAATACGGTGGGAAAGTTATTGAACAAAAGCATAGGTCCAAAATTCCCTTTCAACAGATTTAGATTCAATAAGACGCATTAACAATTTATTCTAAGTGTATGATTGTGATTAAATAGATGTTTCACATCGCACTAACCAAAACACACCATTTCATTTCCTTTTAAGTCGCAAATAGATGGTTAGGATTAGGGGTGTTCGCGGGACGGGACGGGACGGAACGGGACCGGGACAGGCCCGTCCCGGTGAACAGGGACGGGACGGGATTTTTGTCCCATGTCCCGTCCCTTTTTTTTTTTTTTGCCCCCAATCAATTCTGGACCTTTTTTGAATTGGGCCTAATGTTTTTCTCTTTTTTTTTCGTTCTATTTTTTTTGCCCCCTAAATTTCAGTTCTGGACTTTTTCTGAATTGGGCCTGATGCTTTTTTTTTGAAGCAACCGTAAATTCAAGTTAATTTTGGGCCTTTGCTTGCTTTTTTAACAAAAACTCCTCTGCAGACTGCAGTCACTCTTTATATATTACAGAAATTAAATCAAAGACTACCTAATTAATGAAAAACACCGTACTCAAATTAACATACCATGCAACCGTCCGTTTAATGAGAATTACAACAAAATGCACATGTCTTATCATTGTTAAATTTATGCCTCATTACAGTTCACAATCAAGGGTCAGCTTCACTGATATTATATTGAAAACACCAACAGCATCTGAAATTAATCCTGCACCTCTATAAACTGTAACATTAAAAATCCTGCAGGCCACCATTCTTTTTTTTTTGTTCCTGAAGGTCATGGAGTCGCCACTGAAGCACATTCTCCTACATTAATAATAGAAAGATCTGTTAAATTATATAGCAGTTGAGAACACACACATACATATGGAGGACTTATATATATATTGCATGATTCTTGGATGTGTTCGTATCATCCGAATACAAAACTCCAAACCAGTACTTGTCTTCACTCTATGATTGCTATCTCTACACAGTACACTTGATTGATGATATCAAACTTTCTTACAACACACACACGTTCATGTTTTGTCCTTTTTCATCTTATCCATTTTGAAATGGCACAAATATCAACAAATAAGTATGTCAATTATTTTTTTCCTAAAAATATAGTTATTAACATGTAAAGAAAATTAAACTCATTAAAAGAGATATACTAACATATACTTGATTTACAAAATATGAATTAATATCCATTCAATGACCATATATACCATCGATCCTATCTTAATTCATGTGATGTAGTTGAGGGGACATGAGAAGCATAAAAACTTAATGCATGTATTAATTTGATGTTAATATGTAACAGGGAGAAAAAATTGACGCTAATAAGTAAGAAACAAGGCAAGCAATGCAAGTCTTGCATTCTCAAGGTCTTTAATATTTTGAATAACTTTTTAGCAATCAAGAGCACAATAATAAATCTGCAATCCAAGCAGAACAATCCACCATAATTCATTTTCAAGACAATCATAACACAATCAGTTCAAACCAAAACAAGCAAGACATAATAATATAAAAATTTCAATCCATGACATTAAAGATAAATCAAAACAACTAACCATGAGCCAACTACAAAGCAATTTAACTTTCCAAGAGATTTGAAATTGAAGCTGTTAA